GCTCACATTCCATTTCACTACTTAGGCATCCTGTCTACAAGTTCTAAAAACAAATCTGGCTTTTTTGGCTGGTTATGAAGCTCCAGTTGTCAGGGTAGGAAGATGGAACATTTTATTTAGCAGTTAGTCCGTTTATAACGGACACATTTAGCACATGAAATCTGGGCCTCCATTTTCTTGCCCCAGCCCTCACAAGTGTTAAGGGTGGATGGTTCTCTATCATATAACAACTACTTGTGTTTCTCATATGTGGAAAGTACTTAGATATAAAGCAAAAATGGCATTCCTCTACAAAATGTTTACTAAGGAAAAGAGTAATAACATGGACCAACAGGAACATATGAATTTTATGAAAGCACAGGTTTATCAGAAAACACATGTAATGACATGTCTCTGAATTATAGAAAGATGAGCAAGTATAATTGGCATGGTAGTTAAAAGAGCAGACAGCTGGCTGCCTTATTGTAATAGCTACATCTTCCTAGGAGCCAGTTAAGTCTTGGATACTTAAAAGAAGGAAATATTAGTAATTTAGGCAAACCATAATGGATAAATTAAAAGAACTATACAATTAACCCTTGAACATGGATTTGAACTGTGTGGGTCCACTGTGGATTTAAATTATATGGGGACCCGCGCAGTTCTAACCTGTATTGTACAGGGTCAAACTATTGGGAATCTGCAAATGAGAACGGCCAACTATAGTTTATGCAGAGTCAAAGGTTCTGTGCAGATATTACTGCATGGAGGGTAGTGCTCCTAACCCCCTGCAGTGTTGAAGGATTAACTTAACAATGGAATATATTTTATGTTAAGATATTCTGTGAATGTACAACATCACAGCCAAACTTAGTTGCTCTTATTAGAAACACTGAGTATATGATAACAAAACTACTAGTATGGCAGAATAGAAGTCCATTAAAATGTTTACATGCAATTTTCAATTGAACCCATTTTGTTTTACAGGCCCTTTGAACGTACAATTACTATGCATAAAGATAGTACTGGGCATGTTGGTTTTATCTTTAAAAATGGAAAAATAACATCCATAGTAAAAGACAGTTCTGCAGCTAGAAACGGTCTTCTTACAGAACATAACATCTGTGAAATTAATGGACAGAATGTCATTGGATTGAAGGTAAAAAAACATGTCTTACTCTGCTGATTCCATTTTTGGCAAATGTTTTTTGTCTATTTAGATAGTGCTCTGTTTTCATATTGACCTCCAAAAATAGCAATACAGTGGGGCATGTGAAATCTGGGGCTATCCTCAGGCCACACAATGGATTATCTGGGATATTATCTGGAATTATTATTGTTCCAGTAACAAGGGGTTGAAGTAAATAAAATCTGAAGTCCCTTGAGCTGGAATTGTATGGAGACATAAAGGTTCGGTGGCATTTTAATGAATGTTTATCCAACTTTTTTCAAGATGGATTATGGGAAACAATGGTTTCTATTCATATTAATACTTCATTTTAATTTTTTTTGTCCTTCCACAAATTCCTGAGTAGGGTTCTTTTACAATCTAAAAGATGTAAGGAAGTAGGAAGATGGTCATAATGAAAAGGGTTTCATTATGACCTGCTTATTTCATAAACTTTGGTTAACTGAGGGGATATTGTAATAATCGTTAAGATTATTTTTTTGGCTAATATATTGTGATTCTACACTAAACTTGGTAAGGAAAACTAGAAAATATTGTAAATAGAGATATTAGCAAAACATAAGACATATATTACTTAGAATAACAATTTTATGTTTTCAACAGGACTCTCAAGTTGCAGACATATTGTCAACATCTGGGACGGTAGTTACTATCACAATCATGCCTGCTTTTATCTTTGAACATATTATTAAACGGTAAGTAGACACAGTTTAACTTGATGTTTATGGTCATGTGACTTCCCAAACTTTTGGTTCTTTACCTAAGGGATGACATTAAATTATTTAAATCAGAAGCTTTGGTTGGTAAGGATGACCCCCTTACACTTCCTAAGCTTAGAATAAAATTCATTACTTTGGAAATTTTGACATTTACTACTAGGAAAAGAGTATATGAGCAGATTTGGGCAAACTCAGCTTCCAATTTTCAGTAAAATGGATTGTGGTTGCACGCTACCTGTAGTTCCTCTGCTCAGTAAATTCTTACTGGACGTTATAAGTCAATTTTTACTCTCTCGAGCATCTCGAGAGGCAGGTAGAGGTGTGTAGGGGCTGAGGACTGGAAAGCTGAGAAAGGAGACTAGAAAAAGGAGCAGCATGGTTACCTTCCCTGGAGCTTTTAAAATCCTGGCTTTAGCCAAGCCAACTTAGAATTCTTTTCCTCGGGATCTATTTTGCATATGGAAATAGGCAGAAAGCAGCTAGCTACTTTAGGGGTATAAAAAAAGGAGTTACTGTTGAATAGTGATAGCTGTCCCTTTACCCCAGTTTCCCAACAGCATTTTAAAAAAATCATTAGCCTTTATACACAATATATACAAAGACTTACCTTGTATCTTATCTAACTTTTCTAGCCAAGATACAGATAGCCTTTTACAGTGGACATTTGCAAAACAAGTAGATTACATGAGACCCTTAGATCAAAATTCATTATAAAGGATCCTCTCCCTGCCAACTTTGATGCTAATAGGTGCTAAGCTTGAATTGGAGTTTTCTTCGATCAACACAATGCCTCTCTTGTAGGATGGCACCAAGCATTATCAAGAGCCTGATGGACCACACCATTCCTGAGGTTTAAAAGACGACACAATGAACTTCTCCAGTTTACTTCTTTGGCAACTTCACTCGATATTATGCACCGGAAGCTTCCTAGGAGCCAGAGAGCATATGCTGCATGAGGTCCTTTCTGTCTACAGTGTAGCTGGGAATCTAACTGTTTGATCTGATAATTGCTCAGACTTCAAAATAGTTGTAGCCTTATCCTGGTTTTACAGATGTGAAACTCTCAAAATCAAAGGACTTTCATAGATTAGTTTCTCTACTGGAAACCTGATGCTTTTCAAGCCATTATGATTAGAATGACTGATGCAGGCTTAGCTTTGTGTTGGAGCCAGTCACCTTTGTCCTATTAATCAAGTATTGTTGTTACTTTAATTCTATGGTATATTTGCATTTTTACTGTTATAATAGGACATTTAGAATGATTGCTTTTGGTAGTTGTGTTTTGTTTTTTAGTTACCTCTGTGTGTAGTGTTTCTGTAAACACCAATTAAATAACACTGGTTTCATTCCATGTAGAAAGCATTAAAACAGTGTATGCAAGTTGTATTAAATTTTAACTACCTTCACTTGCTTGAACTGCTGCCTTAACTTAAGCATCTAGAAGAAAAGCCAAAACATAATTATTGCTGTCTTTCTACATCCATAATGCAGTTCTATATTAAACTGAAATGTACCTTAGCCCAGAACAAGAGCTATATATATATATATAGCATAGCTGCTTAGTTGCAATTGAGATTTTCTAGTCATAGTCATTGTGTAATGCAACTACTCATAGTTCCTGGTATCATTTTTCTGATAAATGAATTACTATATATTTAATGTAAAAATTCTTACGCTAAGTAGAATAAATTTTTGACTCTCTTTTTCATTCATAGATTATATAACTTAACTGCTTTAGGAGGGTCTTAACAAACCATGTTGTCCTGGTGATTTGTTCTATTTCTGACTTCTCCCTGCAAACAAAATGGCATTGACACTTTACCCTGATTTTTTCCCCCCTCCTTTTTGGTTTCTACTTATTCTAATTAAATATGTATGTATAAATAAAATTTAGCCAGACTATTATTGCACCTTTTGGAAACTGTCCATGGCTTTCACTAAACTAGTACATGACCTAGAAAACAGGCATGTGAAATTCACCTGGGACCTGTGGTGGGAGTTGTCTCTGCAGCAGCTGACGTTCTGAGAAAGCCCTCTGCCAGGGGAGCAGCTGTGACGCTGATGGACAGGTCTGCAACCCTCAAGGTGAGCATCCGGACTCGAGTAAGGCTGTAGATTCTCCCTAGTAATACTTGAGACCAAGTCATGTTTAGAGTCACTAAAGACCAAGTCATGTTTAGAGTCACTAAAAACTGACTGAAAATTCTATCATCCTGGTCTGACTCAAGTTTTCCCCTAAGCCATACTGCCAGCAAGATAAAACAATAGAAAAATTTTAAATCCCATATTATTGTGGTTTAGAAAAGAAGTTATTGCTTTGCAGCTTACCTTGTTTGAAATTTAGAAAAGCAAACCAGTGTTTCCCAGTTTGATGATCTAGTTTGCTGTCTGAACTTGGATCTGAAGATGGTTCCAAGTGCAAGAACAACATTCACATCTCTAAGTATGGTTTTCTAGAAGAATCAATACTTGAAGTTCTTAAAAAAAAAAAAAGTCCTAGTTTTTGTAATAAATAAGAAAATGAAAACGTTTCATTATAGAAAAATATTTTTAATGTAGAAAAGATGACCATTTAATAGTTATAATGAAATAAACTGTTCCTATACACAATAAACTTACTGTTATAAGAACTGCTATTCCTTCCCCACGTCCTTATACTCCAGGACAGTAGGTTATAGAAAGTAACCACACCATGAAAACACACCCAAAACGCAGTGGGCAGCGATTGTGTAAGTCAGGAAGAAAAAATAGTGACTCAGTAGTAGAGAATACTGCACATTTTCTTGGAAAATCCTAAATTTAGTGCTTTTGGGATGTTCCCCAGTTTAGATTCTCTGCCACTCAAACCTGTCTTCTGACCATCATATTAGGATGATCACCTGCCTTACAAATGTAATGTTTCTCCGTAACAGTGCTGTACTTTGAACCCTTATAGGATGCCAACTCAGAGTTTTCAATGATGTCATCACCATGATTTAGAAAGTTTCAAACCACAACTTTCTTTTAGAAGTGGTAAAACTTCTAATTACTATCATTGCACTTTAACCAGTTCATTTAAAAGTATGGTTTAAAAATACATTAGAGTTCTTAACATTTAGGAAAGGAAAAGGCACTTAATACTGCAATTTCCAGAACATAATTTTTCTGTCTTCCCCTCCTGTGATGATACTGCTACACTGTTCGTTCATCCATATACATGTCACAGCACCTACAAGGAAAAGACACTGGTTAGGGGTGGAGTTGACAGGAGGTACACTAACAAGTGATGTACTCGTGGTTGATAAAAAAGTACCTGCTTAGCTGGAGAAACTTGGGAGGAATAGAAACCACTTGTAAGGGACAAGGTAGAGCATTGGTGTTAATGTGATGGTTTACATCTATTTCTAAATGTTAAAGCTAGCAAGTTGGGGGAAAAGGCATAGATATATATCACTTTATAAGTTAAGATGCACTAACCCTACACAACTGGGTGACAAGGCAAGAGGAAGGTAGCTGATATTTTTAACCATTGACCCTAGAATAATTCAAAAAACACCGCACTATTATGCACACGTGCAAACACACCCCCTAAACGAGACACACACCCTGGACTCAAACTGCAAAAGTCATCTAAGGATGACAAGTGGGAGGTAGAAGACAGTGGTGGGAAGTTGACTTAGCTTTTCTTGAAGTTCATTATTTTTCTATTGTTTTGGTTTTTAACTATTTAAAAAAAAAAGAATACAGCTTTTACTATGGCTTTTAATTCTCCATGTGGAAGTTAATGTGAAAACTTCCTTTTTGGAGTCAAATGTGTCAAAATAAATCTAAATTCTGAAGGACCCAAAAGATGCAGACCAGCCAGGAAGCTGGAGGGGAATGTTAGAGCCCAGAGGGCACAGGGGCTGAAAGGAAAGCAGGTTTGAATATTCGTTGTGTCCTGCTACTTGACTGGATTTGTTCATCAGTTCTAATAGTTTTTGGTGGAATCTTTAGGATTCTCTATACAGGATGTCACCTGTAAATAACAATTTTACTTCTTCCTTCCCAGTATGGGTGGATGTTTCTCTTTCCTCTCTGATTGCTGAGGCTAGGACTTCCAGAAAGCAGGTTTGAGTTCGGTATTTTTGGGAAGAAAGGCCAGGCTAACTGAAGACCTCTTACCTTTATGTCCCTGTATTCTCTCACAGAGCTTTCCTCCAAGGAGGTCCCAAACAAGCAGTTCACCAGACTGACTTCCAGATAAAACGGTGTTTCCATCCCAGATAAAGCACCTGTAAACAAACCCTCTATATAAAAGACTTAACATGCAAAGGGCTCCCATTGCGAGTTCAATGGCTCGCTATGATGTGCGCTGACCACCAGGGGACGGTGCTGAACAAAGGAAGTTACCCAACTGGCAGCTGCTAGGGACCCTTCCCATGCATAATTTTTGTGCACTGGACCTCTAGTTTAGAAATAATCATTTCATTATTCATAGCAGAGCTATGTTATATTGGCCAAACTAAGCCCAAAGGCACATGCTCATGAATTTGTGTGTAAATGTCTTCATCCTTAGTAACCCCAAAAATGTACCTCTGGGGCTTGTCGGAAGTCATGGAGGAGATAAGCATTCCTGTCTGCACGTCTATTACATTCACACAGCTGTCTTCTCCTGTGCTAAGGACATGGCGACTGTCTGTAACACACAGTGACACAGATAAAAGGTTACAACTTCAGAGCATACTACATTATCCTGAGATTTTGCTTCCGAGTCTGGCGGCCTAATCATGTTCATTCTCATTTTCCTTGAGCTCCTTGTTTTACTTAACCAATCACTATCCTCTCTTGAAATGCTTCTGTTTTAGAGCATTTGAGATCTTGCTTGCCAACATGTATCATCAGTTTGACTCAAATAGGGACAAAAACAGAAATGCTTGTGTTTCTAAGACACTGGGCAGATGCAATTACAAATCTTACAAATTTCTCTAGTGAGTGGAGGAATAAATAATATCCAATACAGCTTTTCTAGTAGGTACAAATGCCACAAGTATATTGTATTTTGCCATGAAGACGCTCTAGCTATAGGCAAATTTTATCCGCAAAGTGGTTTTCTTTTTACATTCTACTAAAGAAATTCTACTTTGTATCGTCTGTATTAAAAGGGACAATACTACCTGGGCTAAAAGCAGTGTCGTACACAGTCCCCGAATGGCACGGAATCTGGTGCAGTATGGTGGCCGTCGTGAGGTCCCAGATGGTCACCGTGCCTTCTTTGGTGCCTGAAACCAACAATGTGCCTGCAGCATTTAAGCTGATGGTATCCACCTGAGGAAGAAAACATCTTAGTGCTCCACTGAGAATTGGGCTCATAAGCTGTGTTTTCCTAGGTCAGTTCCAATATGTGGGCATCACGATACAGATTAAACTCTCTGGTACAGTGTCCTGGTGTAGTTCATGCAGATGTGTTTAAACATCACCTATTGAATGATAGCTTAAGAACTAAACTCTTTGTGTGCCAGTAAATAAAATGAAGAGCATTTGGGGAAATGTAATGCTGCTTTAAAATAACCTAAACTTGTCAAATTCCATGAATAAGTTATAGAGATATGCCAAATGGCCTGAAACACAGCTGATAGATGATTTGAGAAATTTTTTTGGGGGGGCAGGTAGGTTATACCTAAATAACCATCTTGAATTACATACTAAATATTTGACTTCAGTTGATCTGTCAACCATGCAAACTAGGTATCAATTCCCAGCATCAGAGAAAAGGCAGTATTGGGAGCTAGAACCTAGGATGCTGCAGTGGGACCCAGTGGGAACAGCAGCGTGAAAGGGACCAGGTGACAGCCCTGGTTCTGCCCCAGACTGCACACACTTGGGCCAAATATAGGGTCAGTGTCCTGGTGGTGAATGTGCATTTTCCTAGAGAGAGATGGTCCCTTCTACCTTCTGTGTCATAAAATAGGAAAGACGATGGGGTACATCTTGTTGGCCCAGACAATCTGAGGATATTCAGATATTCAATGTTGTGCTCAGGGAAATGGCAAATGGGAGGAAAAAGGACAAAATAGACTTGGAAACTCAAAGAACTGGGAGTCTATGATCAGTAAGCAAAAGATCATAAACACATAAGTAAAATCAAGAATCTGGCCCCCAAGTTCCTGGACTTAGCTCAGCTTTCATGCACTCTTATTGCCGGTACTCAGTACTCACACTGACATCATGTTCCAGCTCAGCCAGCAGGTCAAACTGGTGTCTCTTGGTGCCTGTCATTTCTGCAGGCACACTAGACCACACCTAGGATAGAACAGATGCAAAAGATATTAGCAAACATGTGATATAATAAGAGCATGTCAAATCCATTGAAGAACTCTCCTGACTAACCAACATCCATTGAACATACTTGTCCCAACTACGGAAGCTGCCCAATGCTTCCGTGTCCCTTTTCCGCCATTCTGTGCTTACCAAGAGGTGCTGGACCTGTGTCCGTTCCCATCCCTTGCACTTGCTGTCGGAATTACATAATTCAAGCATTGTGTAAACTAAGGATATACGAGCGCAGAGGTATTGTAGTGTCAATGCCTTGAGAAGACTCAAGGCAAGTTACTAAAAAATGACAGATGTAAGCAAGAAACTTGTCTACAAGAATAGGAGGAAAATATTGAAAAAAATTAGAAGGAACTCTAATGGTTTTAGGTTTTTGCTTTCTTTTTACACAAATGCAGATTGGAAGCCAAAGATGATGAGTATTGATATGGTAATCATATATGGTCCTACCTCTGCAGGACAGTGGATAAATGTGCATTTGTATGTTTTAAGTTTAATAAAATGCATTATCTCCTAATGATTCCCCACTTTTCACTTGACATTTTCTGATTAACTCATCAATTGCTAGTCCCAATTGTGTTAGATAAAAGGCGTTGCATTTCTCCCAACACACAGCAGAACACACAGTAGAAAAATCATGAAAAGTTCCTATTATGTTGCAAAGTATACATGTTTTTTTTTTTAAAGAAGCAGTAATATTCAGTATCCTTATGTATCACAGGCTTTGTGAAAAATGTTCAACAAAAATCTGTTGAACATTTAACAGTTGGTTTGTATTTTTATTATCCAAACATTGTAAGTTAGAAAGTATATATAAACCTTCACAGTAGAATCCCACGATGCAGAATACAGCCTGTTGTCATGCCAACAGATCTTGCTAACAGCATCATGATGTCCCATTAATGTGCCCTGGCTTCTTCCAAATGCTATAGAATAAAAATAGCTGACATAAAAGATAACGAGAACTATTAGAACAGCATTCAGCTTAATTTTAAGGCTCTTAAACACATATTCAAGAAACATGTTTTATACTTATTAAGGCCCACTAGAATTACAGATTACTTGTTCTCATCACATAAAAATACTGAAAATTTTAATTTAAAACTAGAAATTTCCAAGTCTGGCTAATATGATTTCACCTCACTTTAAAACACAGAGAAAGACCGGCACTGGTTTGGCTCAGTGGTAGAGCGTCGGTCTGTGGACTGAAAGGTCCCGGGTTCGATTCCGGTCAAGGGCATGTACCTTGGTTGCGGGCACATCCCCAGTAGGGGGTGTGCAAGAGGCAGCTGGTCGATGATTCTCTCTCATCGACGTTTCTAGCTCTCTATCCCTCTCTCTTCCTCTCTGTGAAAAATCAATAAAAATATATTAAAAACAAAAACACAGAGAAAGAGTCCAAATGGAGAAATTACTACACTCAAATAATTATGTTCAAATCCAACAGTTTTACCCTCATCCAATATGTGTTCCTTTTTGAGAACAAGTGCCCTGCCAATGGGAGATTGCCCTTTGCTGCTTGGCGTCCCAGAGGCAGTTGCATGTGGGTGAAATGAGAAAGAAGCACACACAGATACATACACATTATTATCCCATGAGGAACTTATGACAGTGGCATCTCCTGGTAAAAGTAAACAAGATGATAATGCCTGAAATACAAACGATTCAACATTAATAATTACAATAGTAAGTCCCCAACATGGCAAAACCACCATACAAGATTCCCCCAAAATTAATGCTCAGATTCTGTTTATGTCAGCGTTTTGAAATAGTCCAAGTTTTTTTCAACCGGCTAATTCCAGGCGCAGTGTTTCCTCCCAATGACAGGGCTGGCCTCATGCTCAGGGCTCTCTGCAAGGCCCTGGAGCACTGGAGGGAAACCTAAGCAGTGGGGGACGTCAGGGGGAGGTGGCCTGGGGACTGTCAAGAATGCGAACACCCTCTCAGGATACAGATTTATGTAAGGAAAACTTGCAACATTCTTCAGGGAATTTCAAATCTTTCAGGTGACTTACATTAACAGTAAAATGTCCTCCTTCAGAATCACTGGGGTTCTAGCATTAGGTATCCCACAAACTGAGAAATGCATTAAGTTATTTAAGTAGCACATACACATTCATCCGACAGGTCCCAAAAAGGAAGGATTTATTAAGAATTCTGCTGGGTAGCAGTTCAAATTGTTTAGGCTATTAATGAAATCACATTATTGTGAGAAAGAGGCAACTTGAAAAAAATTTAAATTTAGAAGTAATCTTAAGGCATTCTCAATATCACACAGGAATCAACAATTGTTTTTGTGAGAAACAAAATCCTACCTAATAAAAGCAATATGCAAATTAACCATTACTCTGCTGTACCACAAGTCATGCCCACCAGCCAATCAGAGCGAGTATGTAAATAAACCCAACCAAGATGGCTACAGCCACAAAGAACAGGAGGGAGGCTTAGGTTTCCCAGGCAACAGGAAGCCAAACTTTCTGCCTGCCCTAGCTGGCCTAAGCCTCCAAGGCTCCAAAGTTTCAATTATAGAAGATACATACCAACAGAAATGGCTGCCAGCCACAGAGCGAGCAGAAGGCTTAGCTCCACTCCAGGCTCCAAAATTTCAATTGTAGAAGGTAAATAAATTCCAGATACCAGGGCCTGCTCTTGGGTTGCCAGGGGGCGTGGCTGGCCCCTCGCCCAGGCCACCCCACACCCCAAGGAAACCCCCACCCTGATCCGGGACACCCTTCAGGGCAAACCAGCTGGCTCCCACCCATGCACCAGGCCTTTATCCTAATAAAAGAGTAATATGTACATTGACCATCACTCCAACACACAAGATGGCTGCCCCCATGTAGTCAAAGATCCTGCCCCCATGTGGACACAAGATGGCCAGCAGGGGAGGGAAATTGTGAGGCACCAGGCCTACAAGGGAGGGCAGTTGGAGGCGATCAACCATGAAGGGGGGAGGGCAGTTAGGGGTGACTAGGCCGCCAGAGGAAGGAAGGTGGGGGCAAACAGGCTGGCAGGGGAGTGGTTAGGGGGTGATCAAGCTGGCAATCAGAAGTGGTCAGGGGCAATCAGGAAGACAGGCGAGCAGTTGGGAGCCAGCAGTCACGGATTGTGAGAGGGATGTTCGACTGCCCATTAGGATGGGGCCTAAATGGGCAGTTTAACATCCCTTGAAGGGACCCAGATTGGAGAGGGTACGGCTGGGCTGAGGGACAGCCCCTCTCTATGCACAAATTCCGTGCACTGGGGCTCTAGTGTTACTATACGAGTGTGTATAAAACAAAATGCTACACGGATTTCTGTCATGATTAGAAATGAAGATGAACTCACCAAATCGGAAAACGATATACTTCTTTGCAGCATTTTGGATTCTGTGGAAAACATTTTCAAGGTGTAATCTGAAAATGAAGAGACACAGGTAAGAACTTCCTGCCTCTTACAGGATGACGATGACGATGCTGCCTTCCTCTTCCGGGCTGGGGAGCGAGCTCTCCCTGCCCTTCCCCTTGACATTTGGGAAGCGTCAGCAACGGAAAGGCCTTCCTCATGACCGTTTCTGGCAAACCACAATGACGTTTTATGGTAATATGCCACAAATTAATTGCTCTGAGCTTATTTTAAGTGGGGGCAGCACATGCAAGTATAGTCCTTGACCCGAGAGTCCCGGAACTTAGCTGCTACCATTTTTTCAGGTGGGGAAAACATACCTTGTGACGTCGTAAAGACGGATGAGCCATTGCAAGAGACTGCTATTCCAGTAACCGCCCTGTTGGAAAACAAAGTTTTATGAATGACCTCCATTGTGCACTAGGACACTGGTCTCCTTCAAGCCCTTGGTTTAATTTTACCGAGTTTCTGTGATTTTTTTTTTTTTCTTCACAGCTTGCCTGCTGTATCTGTCCCACCTGACAACCTGCCATTAGCGAAGCATCACTAGGCAACTTCCAGTTTTGTTCTGGCAGAACTTGTGGCTAGAAAACACTCCCACTTAGCTTCCCGAACTGCCACATTCAAAGTGGAACACATTTCCGACAGCTGGAAAACTGCTTCAGTTCCCTTCTATTTGACCATCCCCCAAGGACTGAAGCTCTTATTTAAAAATCAGTTCCCCTGCTTGAATGCTGAATTGAATTTACCAGCGTCTGCGTAATGATGAGACCACTGTCCAGACAGAACCAGTCTAGCACATCCTGTTAAAGGCTTACCCGTGTCTTCACGGCCTTGGATTGGTGCCATTTAGAGAAACTGAGAAAAGGCCATTGTTTATATTTTATTGATTTTTTACAGAAAGGAGGAGAGAGGGATAGAGAGCTAGAAACATCGATGAGAGAGAAACCAGCTGCCTCTTGCACACCCCTCACCGGGGATGTGCCCGCAACCAATGTACATGCCCCTGACCGGAATCGAACCAGGGACCCTTCAGTCCGCAGACCGATGCTCAGCCAAACCGGTTTCGGTGAGAAAAGGCCATTGTTACAGTGAATAAGGAACCATATATTCTTTTCAGGAAGTTGCACTCTGATTTTAAACCACTAATCTAAAGTAAACTGGCGTGTTTCACCCATGTGATTTTAAAAATGTCAGACAGGATGTCTATGGTGGAGGAGCAGGACACTGAGCCTGGTCTGGGTGTGTTTTTCTTATCTGTAACAGGATGGATCAGATGACTTCCGTGCTTCTCAAGTCTTTCTACCAAAGTATAAAAATATCCCTAATAGCAGAGAACAGGGAACCTCTGTAACCCCTCCAGGTCCAGCAGGAAGCCCAATGTCTTGGAAATAGTTATAATTTTTAAAATTCTAGGTGGACTGACTATAGAAATGAGAACATGGGAGGCAGACACAAATCCATTTTGTTCCAAAAGTTCTCTTGCCACATTGACATCAGAAGGCTGATCACTATAAACACTTGGAGGAGATAAAAAAACAAAACAAAACAAAACAAAACAAAAAAAACAATCAAGATGAAAGAGAGCTTCCCCCTTGATTCAGCTTAAAACAATTTTTTAAAAATACATATATTTTTATTGATTTCAGAGAGATAGAAACATCAATGATGAGAATCACCGATAAGCTGCCTTCTGCACACCTCCTACTGGGGATCAAGACTGCAACCCAGACGATGTGCCCTGGCCAGGAATCAAACAGTGACCTCCTGGTTCATAGGTTGATGCTCAACCACGCAACCACACCGACCTGGTTTTAAATAATTTCACCCCAGGCCAAGACGTCAGCTTCCGGGAGGACAACACGGACATTCTTACTTTTTGTGGAGTTTATGTTGCTCGTGCAACTGCAGTTTTGCTATGTTATTCCAGGCCAGTTTTTTGCTTTCTTCAGTCAGGTCCTCAAAAGACTCTTCCCCTGGAGAGAGCACATTAGGTTATTGCCACGTGAGTCAACTCCATCACTAACAAGCATCACAGATAACACATATCGGAGTCACACTGTCTTCTATTCAAATAAAGCAACCATGAAAACAAAATAGCCCACCAAAATGTAATAGCTTTGAAATGTATTAGATAGCTCTGTGTTGAGGAAAAACAATGAAGTGTATAGTAGAAATAAAAAACCATTTGGAAAGATTAAAAAGTATATTTAAATACTAGAGTATTTTGTTACTTTTATCAATGCTTGCCCCTAATAGAAGAACTTCAGGAAATACAAGACCGAATAACCATTTCCTTGTCAATAATATTGGCAAACATCTGAGGGTTCACTAAGAATGCTGCAGTTGTTTTGGTTTTGAGGGGGAGAAAGCAAAGATGCAGGCAATGTCTCCAAGAGCTCCTGGACAGGACTGAGGAATCCTTCACTTCCGTTTTCAGTAGGGCTGGAACAATTACCCTCTAAAATAATCACAAGACAGTGGTGTGAGCCTGGTGGTGAGTCAGCAGAGCGAGGGTTTAAGAGGCGTCACAAGATAATCCTGTGATCTTTATGACTTAATTCTGTTGGGTTATCTCGCTTAGAGACATACTCCCAAGCCAGCCCTGGGTCATGTGACTCTAGTGAGCTATTCCTCCACAGTTGAGAGCATGCTCACTGCAGCAGTGTGTGCCCACAAAGTCTGAATGGGCCTGGGACAGGAGCAGAAGTGGAGATAATTAAGTGATTTTGCTCCTGAAGTTCCACAGAGTGTAAAAATCCGGAGAGCCAGTAGGTTGGTTGCTTGGAGGCTATTTTAGGTGAAACATTAAACACTAAAACAAGGGTCACTGGATGAAAGTGTGGGAACAGTCCATCTTTTCCAAACACTAGATGATGTGAGGACAGTGTCATGTTCATCTTAGCACCTAGCATGCGCCTGGCACAGAACAGATACCTAGCAAATGCTTGACTAATATAATCAAAGAAAGCAGAGCACCTTGAATTCGAGGTCTGTAAGCCGGGGATGGAGAGAAGAATTAGAGATGGAGGAAGTAATTTTGGGGAAAGAGTAGGGCAGAGGGTGATTGTTAAAGCAGCCATGGCCAGGATCTATCAATAGAAAGAGTCAAACACCAGCTGGGAAAAGCACAGAGAAGGAATGGAACCATAACAATCACAGTAAAGATCCTGCCAGGTTTTGATTTTCAGAAACAAAACACCAACAAAAAAACAGGTGGTTGGGTTTTCGTTTTTGTTTTTCCGGAGGACGGCAATAAGATGGTAAAAACATTATCTCTAAGCAGCACAACATTCATGTTTCCTCTTCAGCATCGTCAGAAATGACTTAAAGAACAACGAAAGGTGCTCACATTTATTCTCTTTGCAAAATTTACCTGGAGAATCTGATATGGAAACGTTATCACAAGAGGTTTGGGGCAAACTTTTGAACTTCTCGGTGATCCTTTGAGGATGTGGTGTCACAAAGAGCTGTTTTGGTGTCTGCCCGAATTCCAAGATTTGGGTCAGCATAGCTACTTTCTCGTCAGGATCCTCGATCCTTTAGGACAGAACACAAATAATGCCGTGAGCCCCTGGGTTCCAGTTTCCTGCAAGCACACGTTTCAGATAGAACAGATCAACAGGAGAGAGCTTCAAACACTCGCTGTGTATCAGGATGGTCTTAACCAGTGGTTCTCCACCTTCCTAATGCCGCGCCCCTTTAATGCAGTTCCTCATGTGGTGGTGACCCCCAACCATAAAATTATTTTTGTTGCTACTTCATAACTGTCATTTTGCTACTGTTATGAATCGTAATGTAAATATCTGTGTTTATTTTTTTTTATTTTTTTAAAGCTTTTGCTATTTTATTTTTTTAATATATTTTATTGATTTTTTACAGAGAGGAAGGGAGAGAGTTAAAAAACATCGATGGGAGAGAGTCATCGAGCAGCTGCCTCTTGCAGGCCCCCCTCTGGGGATGTGCCCGCAACCAACGCACATGCCCTTGACTGGAATCGAACCCAGGACCCTTCAGTCCGCAGGCTGACACTCTATCCACTGAGTCAAACCGGTCCTGACAAAATCTGTGTTTCTTGATGGTCTTAGGCGACCCTGCTAGTGGTTCTCAACCTGTGGCTGTTATAGAGCCTACGACCATCGGAAAACAGATATTTACATTACAATCCATCAACAGTAGCAAAATTACAGTTATGAAGCAGCAACGAAAATAATTTTATGGTTGGGGGTCACCACAACATGAGAAACTGTATTAAAAGGTCGCAGCATTAGGAAGGTTGAGAACCGCTGGTCTAAACCTTAGCAAAGATTTTTTAAAAACTTTTTTTCCTGAGGCTCAGTAACTCACATAATAGTAAAAGCAAGATACAATTCATAAATTTTCCATATCTTAACATTATCCAATAAGCGCATCAATCATTCAGTTAAAGAGGTATTTTGTTCAAGTAGAAGTTCCTTCTAGACATAAGTACCTGTTCAGGTCCACACCTCCTTCATAGGTCAGGGGGTGAAATACTGGAAGGAGAGAAGGAAAACACCATTGAGAGATGTACTGCCGAGTTAGACACTCTGTTCAAAATTTTAAAACCCAGTAACAACTTTAAACGTTTATTCCAAGTAACTGATTCTCACTCTGCAAAAAAGACTAATAAGATCTGACTTTCAGTCAATATCAACTTGAATTATCCTTGGCTGAGCAGAAATCTCACTGGCAGGTCAGAGGACCTGTTATCTCAGTGTTTTTCTCGGTCAGCTTTATTTTCCCCTGAGGGGAAGCAGGTCACGCTGCCCTCTGCTCTGGTTTGAGAAATCAAGCCAGAATTTCCAGCTCCACTTCCTCGTCATCAACGCTGAGAAACCTGGAGGCAGGTGAGAACCCAGACAGATGAGGAGGTACATTACTGCAGGTTTCTTTCAGCACAACTCAAAGGAAACTCTGGGGCCCTTCATAGCAACGGAGGTCGCTGTGCCATCATGTTCTGATGGAGTTATAATTGAAAAAAAAATTTTTTTTACTTCACTTTTTAAAAAAAATTAAATTATTATCTGTGTACATATCTTACATTCCCCCCCTCCCCCACATTTTTTAATGGGATCGTGGGTACTTGCTAAAATGAGAAGACCTCTTGGGATCACGCTGAAATAGATCTTCTTTGGGGAAAAGGACTTCCTCCTCGGTTGCCTAGTATCTAAACCAGGGTCCTGAGCCAGTAGGCACTGTTCGCTGATAGAAGTTTCTGCTGAAGGAATAAGGTTGACTACTCCGCCCTCATTTTGTTTTTGTTTCATTTTCATCAAACACTAGATGAGCTTCCGGTGACTATGACATACCATTATGGGCCCCCACAGCCTCGCTTCCCTTTTGCTTGTAGCCAAACACTAGGTCAATCCACTCGTGAAGGTGCTCGGACACATAATCGCTTTCCAGCGCCTCTTTGCTCTTCTGGAGAAAGTCCTCGGGGCCTGTTAGATCAGACTCCATCAGAACGCCGCAGCGTCCACTTCGTTTCCCCTCATTTCTGCCCTCTACCCACCCGCATGTACACAAAGATTCTCGGATGGGCAGGAGGCACATATTTCTTAATGACGTTGTGCCCCCATCACATCAACTATACATTGTGTGGCGAGAAAAAGTGGCAAAATCGTTTCCCCAACATGTAGGTCTTGCAGAGAGCACCTGGGAAGGCACGTGGGCGCTTCTTTCATTGTCAGCCGAATCCAGTGGTGTTGGCAAAACCACGTCCTAGAAACAGGCTTTGCCAGAGGCGGGAGTGTTCTCAGCCTGACCTTCAGCCCAGGTGCCAGGAGGTGGGTTTTGTTCTTTAAATCCAGCCAAGCACCAGGAATGAATACAACTCGGCCCACTCAAGAATGCACATACTGCCGAAGCCGGTTTGGCTCAGTGGATAGAGCGTCGGTCTGCGGACTGAAAGGTCCCAGGTTCCATTCCGGTCAAGGGCATGTACCTTGGTTGCAGGCACCAAGTAGAGGATGTGCAAGAGGCTCATCGATGTTTCTCTCTCATTGATGTTTCTAGCTTTCTATCCCTCTCTCTTCCCCTCTATAAAAACTCAATAAAATGTATTTAAAAAAAAAAAAAAAAGAATGCACATACTCTTCTTTGTCTTAACTTTCAGTAAAACTTCCTATTTTTTGCTGTATAAAATAAACACGCTATATTGGCTCTGGGTCCCTGTCCCTGTCAGAGGACAGCAGTCCCACCCAGCCCCAGCTTTTTCCTTCCATCTCTGTGTCTGTCTCTTTCTTTCATTTTCTTAATCCTCAGCAGTCCCTACTCAGAAACCGAATCGCTCTCAAGCCATGCTGGATGTGGAGAAGAGAAAAATATTTACAAGGTGTCTCAAATATGTCAATATTTTTACAGCCTAGATTCACAGAATATTTTTTATTTGGAATCAGCCTGATCTCGCCTCATTTAAGTAGAGAATTACACTGTCATTCTTAAATTCTAGGCAACTAAATAATTAATCGCACTGAAACTGCACTGCCAGGGAAGGAATTTCTGCAAGGCCGCACACAGTGCTGAGGTACTCACTCCGTGCCCAAGGCGGAAGTTCCACGTCATCCACCATCTGGCCTCCTTGTCTCTTCCCCAAATCCAACTTCAGACTATTGACTAAGAAGCTGACATCATCGCCATAGAATTCTGGAATCAACTGAAGGTTCCAGGTAGAAAAAGAAAAAAAAAAAAATTAGCAACAAACATTTTTTAAAGCAGTTAGAAAACACCAGCCCCATGAATCATTAACTCTTTAAACTGCTTACCTCTTTAAAATCTGTGGCACCATCCAAGCAATTTTTCCAAGTTTCTGCAATACTAAATAAATTTTTTTTTTTTAAAAAAAAAGGATTTTAACTCAAGGGTATAGAAACAGCAGCCACAGAGCTTTCTCTGCATTCTGTTCTATCTATATTATCTATATCAACTCATTCTCTCCTTAACTCAATCCCCCTTTCACAGAAGAGAAAAATCCTCTAGGCTCACAGCGGAGAGGTGGGAGTGGGCATGGAGTCAGAAAAGGCCCAGAAAAGGCCCAGAATGTCTCCAAGTTCATGCCAGGAGCCTCTGCATTCACCGCCTCATTGAAGGACCAATGCAGGCAGGTGCTTAAACACTAGAAAATTAGCACAACTATTTTAACAGCTCATCTCAAAAAGGAGTTATAAACAAATGTGCAGAGCTTACACGACTGGAAAGACACAGACCAAAGATTAATGAAAATTCTCTCAGTGTGGCCCTAACGGGTTTGGTTCAGTGGATAGAGTGTCGGACTAAGGACTGAAAGGTCCCGGGTTCGATTCCGTTCAAGGGCACATCCTCAATAGGAGAGGTGGGCAGGAGACAGCTGATCAATGTTTCTCTCCCATAGATGTTTCTAACTCTCTAGTCCTTTTCCTTCCTCTCTGTAAAAAAATCAATAAAATATATATTTTTTAAATTCTCTCAGTGTGGACAGATGTTAACTGAACTTTATTTTCCTCTTTATATTTTCTGATTTTTTTTTTTTGGAAAAGTATTACTTTTATAATTTAAAAAAAGTTACTTACAGACCCACAGGGAATTATATTCAACTCATAGCAAAATTATTGACCTATGAACCAGGAGGTCACAATTCGATTCCCGGTCAGGGCACATGCCCAGGTTGTGGGCTCAAATCCCCAGTGTGAGGTGTACAGGAAGTAGTTGATCAATCATTGTTTCATTGGTGATGTTTCTCTCTCTCCTTCTCCCTTCCTCTCTGAAATCAATAAAAATATATTTTTAAAAATTATTTAAAATAATGAAATAATGTTGGAAACACTCTGAATGTCCAACAATAGAGAAACAGTTAAAATATATTCTGGCATACACTAGGATGTGATCTAATAACTTAAAAAGTGAGACTGTTTTAAAAAAAAAAAACCATCTAATAACATGGGGAAAACTTCAAGATCTAATGGGATACAAAAAGTGGGACAAAAACTATTTAAAACACATTCAGATTTACACACACGACTAGAAAAAGCCTAAAAGGATTAGATACAACAATCAGTGATTCTTTTTGAATATCTTTACACTTTTGGCCCGGTATAGTTTTTTTTTTTTAAACAAACATATTGTGCATATATAATTAGGAAGTTTTAAAAAATGGAGGGTGAAGTATTTGTGTCAAACCTGTTGAACATCCTATCTGCATTATCAAATCTTCCATTCTGTAGGCACAGCATATGCTCTGGTGCTGGAGGGGGGAAAGCGGAGTTAATGAGACACAGGTTCCCTGAAGAGTCCATGTGAAATAGCACTGACGCGGGTTGAGGATGAAGAGCCTTACCGATCCTGACGAGATAGAACAGCACGTAGCCGGGGGACGAGTAGTGGCTGCCGTACATGAACTTCGGCTCCGGCATCTCCTGGTAGCGTGCCTACGATACGGGAGAAAAAAAAAAAAAAAAGACTAAGTGTAGGCTATGAAAATAACAAGTCACTGAAACCGGTTTGGCTCAGTGGGTAGAGCATTGGCCTGCGGACTGAAAGGTCCAGGGTTCGATTCCAGTCAAGGGCGTGCACCTTAGTTGCGGGCGCATCCCCAGTAGGGGGTGTGCAGGAGGCAGCTGATCAATGATTCTCTCTCATCGGTGTTTCTAACACTCTATCCCTCTCTCTTCCTCTCTGTAAAAATCAATAAAATATATATTTTTTAAAAAATAAAAATAACAAGTGACTCATGTAGTAAAAGCCTAGAAGAAATCACGGCATGAGTACATTATATAAACTCCTTAATTTCTTTCTTACATAGGAAAAGGAAAGATAAAAAGCGGGTGGAAAATCTGAAGAGACACAGCATTCCCATAACAAGTATTTTGGTTTTCTTGAAGCAGTGGTAACCATGTTGGGATAGGGGGAATGGAAGGTGGAAGGGATTTTAGGCATCTCTTGTGCTGTTTACTAAAGAGAACCCTTCAGAGAAGTAAGTTAGTAGTTGGTAATCAGGTCAGCCTCCACTTACTGTATTGTAGGCAAAAAAAAAAAAAAAAAAGCAAATAGAGAGCAGCTAAATTCACTGGGGAAGCCAGCAGGCACCGGGGTGGGGGGAAGTAAGAGTGAAAACAAAACACATGATCCCTCTGGACATGTTTGCACTAAGTCTGGATGAAATGAGTTTCGGTTACTATGAAAACATGGGCCTGGTTCAGGAAGTTCCTTTTAGACTTACCAGCAGTCTCTCCAGTCGCTCCTTATTTAGGGCCCCTACGGGCTTCCCCAGATCCCGGAAGGTTCCTGGGTTTGACAAATCTACATAAGTAAATACATTTTAAAAGATTAATTAATTAGAATAAAGCAAGCAAACCTATACTTAATATTACTGCCATGAACTGATTCACATGTACACATTTTATTTTCACAAAATAAACAGTTTTAAAAAACGGAGACAGACCTTTAGAATTGTAGTATTTCTGGTAGTTACTTATACAGGTAAAGGTGAGAATTTTGAGTATTAATTTAGAAACATCCCTTCAGAAGTGATTTCCAATTTGAAAACATCATAGATATGGATTTTTTTTTAAAAAAGGCCTACTGAAAAAAGCTATATTCCAAGAGTAAAACAGCAACAACAAAAAACAAAGTTTAAAAGCCCATTATTGCCAAAACTAGTTTGGCTCAGGGGATAGAGCATAGGCCTGTGAACTGAAAGATCCCAGGTTCCATTCCGGTCAAGGGCATGTACCTTGGTTGCGGGCACATCCCCGGTAGGGGGTGTGCAAGAGGCAGCTGATCAATGATTCTTTCTCATTGATGTTTCTATCTCTCTAACCCTCTTTCCCTTTCTCTCTGTAAAAAATCAATAAAATATATTTTTTAATAAAATAAAAGCCCATTATTCTTCTACTAAGATTTACTTTTTAAGTTTGAATTACAGCAAATATACTACACTTTAATAACAGCATAATTTGAGAACTGAGGACCTGAGTATTATCAGAGAAGTAAATTATCATATTCCTAGAAAGTTTGTTATCTCTTTCAAGTACAGAGTTCAATAAGTGAAATTTCCAAAGAAATTTATTGTTCACAATATATAATTTTAAGTATTAAAAAATAAAATCACAATACAATCACTATTTTTGTTAAAATAATTTGAGAGAAGTACATATACCACAAAATTAAAATGGTTACCTCTCAGTAATGTAATAATTGATGTTTATTTCCTTTTAAAAATATTTTAGTACATTCTAAATGTCCTATAATGAATAGTTATTAGTTTTTTAATCACATTTAATGTAAATTTTAAAATAGTATAATCTGAGAATGTTCAAAGTGAAAAACTACAGCATTTCAAAACTTGGTATTTATAGATAGTAATGATTATATGGCTTAAAATTATATGCATATGGGGTAAGGGTGACCGGGAAGAGGCCAATGGGGGGGAAAGGAGACCTATGTAATACTATATGTAATACTTTAAAAATAATTTTAAAAATTATATGCATACTAGAGGCCCGGTGTACAAAATTCATGCATGGGGGGTGGCCCTCAGCCCAGCCTGCACCCTCTACAATCAGGGGCCCCTTAGGGACACCCCTCTCACAATCTGGCACCACTGGCTTCTAATCACTAACCTGTCTGCCTGATCACCCCTAACTGCTCCCCTGCCAGCTTGGTTGCCCCCAACTGCCCTCCCCTGCTGACCAGTTTGCCCTCAACAGCCCTCCCCTGATGACCTGGTCTCCCCCAAGTGCCCTCCACTGAGGCCTAGCTGCCCCAAACTGCCCTCCCCTGCCAACCTCATTGCTCCCAACTGCCCTCTTCTGCCAGCCTGATCGCCCTAAATGCCTCAAATCCATGGCTTTGTCCAGAATGAAGTCAGACATCCAGAAGATGGTGGACCTGGTCTAATTAGCATATTACTTTTTTTATTAGTATAGATTTCCTGGGCATGTCCTTTAAGAATATGTGAGTACTATTTTTTGGATTAAGAAAAATTAAGAGACAGTGGAGAAAACAAAACAAAACAAAAAACCCACATATAATTTATATTAAAATTGAAATGACAACTAGCAATCCTTAGTAATAAAGTTAAAATGGGTTCTAATCTATTCATAGATTACATCCTAAGTCTACCACAAACTATGTTTCTCGCCTGTAAGAGGAGGTGGGAGGCACTCACCCAGCTCGGAGCTGCAGTAGTCGCTGATCACCCAGGGGAACACCGGGTACTGGGACAGGTCATTGCAGCTGCGGTCGGCCAGGTTGTTGAGGTGCAGCAGGTACTGGTAGTTGGAGAGGTGGCCGCGCTGCCACTGCAGCATGTAGCTCTCGGCCGTGCGCTCCGCCACGTGGTGCTCTGCGGAGGACAGGCCGGCATGGTCACCACAGAGCGTGGCAGATGCTGGCCAAGTTTTACTTAGCAAGTACACACTGGATACTTTAAGTGTAGTCTTTTCAATGCATTTTTGAGAAGTGCATTTTAAGAAAATAAATAAATAAAAGGTAGTTTGTTTTCGCTTCACTATTTCCAAGGTCAGCATGTAAGACTAACATCAGCATGTAAGACTAACTAACTATACACCAGAAGCGCAAACAAAACTAAGATGGTTTTAATAAAAATCCCAACATCTACTTTTAGAAACCATTCTATTCTAGTCATCTAGCAACTTTGTAAACAAGAATAATTACAGTCAGCCATACAAATTACTATATTTATGCACGAAAAGAGAAATACAGGTGTTTCTCTAACGAGGGTAAGAAAATTCACACTTTCCATGGAAGACTGAGGAAATATTAATTAAAAGCAAATTCAGTCCCACGGGTATTATACTGAGCCTTGAGCTTCATGTGTTTCTTTTGTATCATTTTCTAGCATCAGGATTAAGACCACAATTAATGAACACAAACATGACTGGAGAGCTCACTGCCTCTCACATTAAGGAACTGAATCTCGGTTTTCATAAACTAATATAAGACATGACTGGACATAGACATAACTAAGGGGAGTCTTTATAATCCATTCAATTTGTGTGTTGTTAAAATAAAAATTTTTTAAAATATATTTATCAAGTTTTTAAAACACACAATAAAACTATTACCAAAATTCAATTATGTTTCCTTTGCTTTTGTTTTTTTTAAATGCCATCTTGCCAACTGTAGTTACTATGGAGAAGCAATGGGAAGAACCACAGAAAGGTGGTTCTAGATCCAGCATTTTTCTTTTCCCTTCTCTTATTTCCTATCCTGGTCACTTAGGAGTTGAACTACCTTCCTATGAATAGAACAACGAAGGGTAAACACCAAACCTAGATACGTGGCAATATAAAAATAGAGTTCATCTCGATCTTGAGGGTCGTAGAACTTTAGGTAGATGTCAGAACACAGGTCATTTTCTGTGCAAAACACTTCCAATCCCTATACATTCAGGAAGAAAGGAATAAAACAGCATTTCATTAATCTTGCAATTGCAATATAAGCTATACAATCACAAAAGCCTTCCGATTAAACATCTACATTTTTTACTTGTAGCTCTTGTATTCATATTCTCCAGCTTTAAATTTGATTCATATATATATATATATTATATATATATAATATATATATATATATTACATATTTATTTCTTGAGAACAAGACTTGTATCTTTAAATTTTGTAAAATCCCTTTTAGTGTTAATCATTTTTATTGATAAAACCTTTTGTGAATTTAGTATTTTGAAACTCAGAATTGGCTGATCCATGTCTTCAAACATCTTCAAATATAAATGTTTAGCTTTCTATTATAATTAAATTATTATGTCAATCTAACAAACTGATACTTGAATAACTATTCAACTAATAACTTACAGTTATTTTTTAAAATATGTTTTTACTGATTTGAGAGAGAGAGAGAAGAAAGAAGGAGGAGAGGAAGAGAGAAACATTGATAGCAGACCGCCTCCTGCACATGCCCGATTGTAGATTGAGTCAGCAACCAGGCATGTACCCTGACTGGGAATGAAACAAATAGCATTTCATTAATCTTGAATAGAACAGGCAGGATGATGCCCATCCAAATGAGCCACAATGGGCAGGGCGACTTGCAGTTATTCTTAAGAAAACTCAGCTTTGTGAATGTTGTATTAATAAGCCTGAGGTAGGACAGGAATAGACAAAGAAATGACAAAAGCAGACTTGTTCTTGGTTCAAATACAGACTTTTACCATTTACTAGTTAAGGAACAGAGGAAATTAACTCTTAGAATCTCAATTTCTTTATAAAAATAGAATATCATCTACCGCACAGGGACTGTTATGATAACAAATATTGTACATACATTTCCCAGTACACATAAAACACTTAATGTCAATTTCTTCTCTTTTTTCTGACTGTGTCTTTATACCCAAAGGAGGTAATTTTCAATAGTATGCGTCCATAATTCTCTACTAGCACTATAAATGAAGAGTATCCTTTTAAAATAAATAGGTAGGAAAAGACAAATTTCACAAATAAACAAAAATGAGGTGCTTAAAATTCAACAGTGCTTTGGTAACGCTACCTGTCAGGTGACTGGCTCATCTTCAAAGGAGGAAAAATGAATTTATTCTCAAGTCAAATGAAAACACCCTGGAATCACACCTTATGTGGGGATTGGTTTCCACGGTCAGCATGTAAGACTAACATAAGAATGGACACATGCTTATCTAGGGGCATGGTAGGAAGAACTGCCCATGTGATTTAATTGGTTATTTTGTTCATGTCTCTCACTTCCACGCTGAAGGCTGAATTACTCTACGCCTATCGAAGACACTACAGATCCACTGGAGAGTTCATATTGTACCAGCTTCCGCATTTTACTCTGCCATCTAGCTGCTATGAGCAGATGGTGCACGTCACACTGGATTGCTCTGCATGGATTATCCCTGCACAACCCCAGGAACTCTGAGCACACAGGAGTGAGAAACTCAGGCAGCAAACCCCATCCCTCTTGCTCTTGGAGCCAAAAATATTCCCACAGCAGCCTTCCTGTGCAGAGAAAGGAGTTATTCCTTTACAAATGTCTAACTCCCTTATAAGTATATTTCCAGTAGGACATGATCTCACTCATCTAGGGGAAATGGTGAACAACATAGACTGATGAACAAGAACAGACCCAGAGATAAGGAGCCATGGGTCAGACTGTTGGACCTCAAAGGGAGGGTGGGGATAAAAGGGAGAGATCAACCAAAGGACTTGTGTGCACACATATGAGCCTAACCAGTGGTCAAGGACAATAGCGGGGTGAGGGCATAAGGGGACGTGGGGGATTGGAATGGGGGGTTGAGGACAAGTACGTGATACTTAATCAATAAAGAAATTAATTTTAAAAAAATTCTAGCTCATCCAAAAGAAAAGAGCAGCAGGACCCAGAGTCCACTTGCTTACAACACAACATTACACATCGCAGACAGGCCACGAGGGTTATGCATTAATCACTCACTGGTTAAACTGAAACGAGGACAACCATTCACCTGGGACTGGCATGCCACTTGAACTCACCAGAGGCATGAGGCCGTGCCTCCTCTTGTAAATGCGGCAGATGTCCTGGAGTGTGATCTGGACCACGGGTTTCTGTAGAAGCAGAGAGACTGTCTCAAAGGTCAACATTCCGACACAGTTAGAGGTAGTGGGTCTTTAGTATCAGAACGCGGAACCAGATGACCAAATCTCGCCTTCCTGATGTTACAAGGTGAACAATTGGAAAGAGACCTTAAAGAAGGCGTATCTGGTTTAACATTCCAGCCTGCCCCCCCCCTCCTTTTTTTTTGTTTGCTTTGTGACCTTGGACAAGTCTCCCAACCTCCATTCGGCACCAAAAACATGGCAATGCGTTCATCTTTCAGGTTATCGCAAGGGTGTTGAGTGTTAATGGAATACTAAAGGATTGGTACAGAGCCTGGCCTGTGTGACTCAGTGGTTAAGCATCTGCCCATGAACCAAGAGGTCACTAGTTCGATTCCCAGTCAGAGCACATGCCTGGGTTGCAGGCTCAATTCCTAGGAGTGGATGTGCTGGAGGCAGCCAACTGATGATGTTTTTCTCTCATCAATATTTCTCTTTATGCCTCTCCCTTCCTTTCTCTCTAAAAATCAATAAAAAACATTTTTTTTAAAAAAAAGGATTCATTACAGATAACCTCTCAGGAATTTTTCTATCCTTTTATAGAGCAATGGTTTCCTTAGTACTCACTCATCTTGTTTTAGAACTTTTGTCTCCTTAAAAACTATCATGTATTAAGGCTCACGGATAATTATAGTATAAAGCAGAGCTTCTAAACTTTTTCTTTCATAAGGAAGGTGATTTTCTTCCTTCTTTAAAACCTTAAAATGCTAGTAAGAGAAGATTGAGGTTAGAAAAGACAGTGAAACTGGCTAAAAGGTGACAAGTTCATTTTCCTATTTCTGAGTGGAAGGGAATCAATGCTCATACCATGAATCCTGAAGCTATGGCACATACTCCTATTTTCCCAAAAGTTGTTGACCCGGAGCTATAGTAACAGTAGCTGGTAAGCCCATGTTATTGCCAGGCTAGAGAATGCCCATCAGCAATGTACACGGCTTCCATCGGAGGGTTTGGCAAGCGTGGCCCACCACCTGGTGGACAGAATTATTACAGCATCATCTTTCACTTGGAAAAGTACTAGAAGCTTTTTAGTGCCATGTAGTAAGGACTGGCCTGCCTGGAGCACTTCCAGGGTATAGCCTGTGGCAGGAATCACTCCTGTGCTTTAAACTTCCCTGCTAATTGGCCCAATGGCACTGTCAGAGCACACTAGGATTTCTGTTCCCTCAGTGAGCCACTCCCCAAAGGGCGAGATCTAGATAAAGCAACCGGTCTCTAGAAGATGTAGTGTGGAGATCTGAGCTATTTTCACTTACCAGCCTAGGAAGTCTAACGTCACTGTGAAAGGGATACTAGCCCTGCAGCCACCCCCTGTAGCAACACTGTGCGTACCTGTTCTGGCTGGGCAAGGACCACTTCCAACTGCCTTTTAGGGAAAGATTCAGATTCCCTGACTTGGCTGGCAATAGAGGAAAAACAAGAACTACCAACACAGGCAGATATAGAGAAAACATGCATTTCTTCGTGATGTTGGTGTTACTTCATTTGTCTCTTGCAGAAGTGCCTCCGAGCAGAAAGGTATCACACTCTCACGAGCCTTTATTAAAGTCGAGAGGGGCAGGGCTTCTTTTCACAACACCAAGAGCCAGTGACCCCCAAATGCAAGCCGATCAGGAAAGCTCACACTCAGATTCCTCGGGATCACACCGGAAGCCTGTTAAGCACGCAGTCGATGGCGGGGCCGGGCAGGTCGTTTTGATCCTCACCAACACGTGAGCGCGCTGTGATGGGGAGGTCCCATTCACAGGAAAGAGCATAAGGGGAAGAGCCCAGTGCTAATGGAGCTCTCCACCCGCCCGGCAGCCATCACGTACCGGGTAGCCATTGAGAGGCTGGAAATACAGGGTGGTGTCCGTGATGCACACGTGGCCAGGGTTTGTCACCAGAGGGGTCACCATTTCTGCTTTGCATTCCATGTGCAGCTTTTCAGAAACATTTTGGAACCTGATAATTTCAGCAAAAGAAAAAAAAAAAAAAAAAAAAAGGAATCAGAAACCGATCTACTTTCCAGGTTTAACTTTACCTAAGAGAGTTACAGTGTGACTTGGAGTAAGACTTGTCTGAACATAGACGTTCTACAAAATGGTAAAACAAATCAGCGCTGCTTCCGCTGAAGGGTTTGGTGAGCATCACAAAGTTGGTCACAAATAAAACAGACATTCTTGTAAATGGTAAAATGAAAATTCAACTTTTCAAAAACAGATGAGAAGGATAGACAAGTAAATGAAGTCAAATAACCCATTAGCTCAAAATAAACTGACGTAGAAACTACTCTCAAATTAACAAGATTTTCTCTCTTTCTAAATTTAAAGCCTACTTTCATAGCCAGATAGGCCATTTTTGCATAGATGGCATCTATTTCACACTACACTTCATAAGACTATGAAGACACAATGACAGTAACTTGAATGTCAGTTCCAAAGCCCAGCTGACCCATGATCAACAGTTTGAACTACAAAGATCCACTTACCTAATGTGTTTTTTCCCCCCAATAAATATTGTAAATCTATTTTCTCTTCCTTACGATTAACACTTTCTTTTCTCTAGCTTACTTTGTTGTGTAGTATACAATACATATAACGTACAAAATATGCATTAATCAACTTGATGTGATCAGTAAGGCTTTGGGTCAACAGATAGCTCTGAGTAGTTAAGTTCTGACTATGTGGGTTGTCACCCCTAACTCCCACATTGTCCAAGTGTCACCTGTACATTCTTTTGTGGATTTACTATAGTAAAACTAATCAATGATGATTTCTCTGCTACCCCATTGTAAATTATTTGGACAGCCAAACAGAGAACAGGTTGGTATTAAAGTATAACTCTTTTCAGAAAATACACTATATACTTAGAAAAGCTAAGAAAGTCAATAATAATTTAAAAAAAACACACAACACATTAGACCAATAAAAATGTAGTCTCCTGGTCCCCATAGGATACCTCTAGAAGGTACCTATCACAATTTGAAGGGCCAAGACAAACATTCTGGACACACAGACAGCTAAGCTGAAATTAGAAGAATCAGAAAGAGCCAGCCAGGTGCAAAAGAGCAGAGTACTCTTAGTGGAAGGAACACGCACTCAGTCCCGGAGGAGAGAGACCGTGTGGCACACTCAGGAACTGCACGCGATGCAGAGCTGGAGCGTGGAATCCGAGAGAGAGCAGTGGCGGGGCGTCCTGAATAAGGACCCGGACGTAAGCGGACTGTGCACCAACTAAGATTAAGATTTTTTACCCTGAAGGCAACGGGCAGTCTTGAAGAGTTTAAACAAACAGGTGATACCATTATGTACATTCTTCAGAAAGAACGTATTATTTATTTTTTTAGTTTCTTATTTTTTGTTAATCGTCCCCTAAGGACATTTCCCCATTGATGTTTAGAGTGGCAAGGAGGGAGAGAGACAGAGAGAAACACCGATGTAAGAGAGGTGCATCATCGATTGGTTGCTGCCCCAGGTGGCCTGCAACTGAGGCACATGCCCTTGACTGGAATCAAACCTGAGATACTTCAGTCCATGGGCTGACGCTCTATCCACTGAACAAAACCGGCTGGGGCAGAGGAGCGTATTTTAAAAGTCCAATAGGTGCAGTGCGGGGAAAGGGGATTGGAGAAGGGAAGACTAGTGTCAGGTAGACATGCTAGAAGCTGTCCCAGTGTCCGGAGTGGGAGGGGATGGTGGCCTGGACTGAGGCAGTAAGAGTGGGAAAAGACGAGCTGACCGAAAGGAAGGATGTTAGAGGGCCTCATCTACCAGCCTTTCTGACAGGTGCCAGATGGAGAGAGAGGAGGCAGCCCCTGACAAGGCTCCTGCACTGGGGTGGGGCCATCCCCCCAGATACGCAGGCATGGGGTGAGGCAGATGACAACATCAGGCTGGACATGCTGAGCAAGGCCAACAGATGAAGATGCTGCTGCTTTTATAACAAGTAAGCAAAATCACTGAACTCTTACCTGTTTTTATCAAATGATGTTCTCGCCAAACGTGACTGCAAAATAGCCGTTATCTATGAAAAGAGAACCATTTGCAAAGTATGGATGTAAGTATTTATGAGTGAAAACCAATACAAATAAATTCATAATAAAGATACAGATCTTTAGAAACTCTTACCATAGCAGTCTGGTCCCCTAGTTTGTCAAGGCACGATGCTCGGTGAAGCTACAATATTATAAATATACATGAATTTATTTTTTTTTCTCTCTCAGATGACATAAAGGTATTTCCTTAGAAGCAATGAAATAACAGCAAGCATCTGTTACTTAGTAACAGTTAAGATTGCATCTGATATATGTATGGCTCCTTCCTAATATAGTTTTCAAAGTCAACATAATCAAGTAAATCTGATTAATGTTTATAAAAGAGACTAGAGGCCTGGTTCACAAAATTCGTGTGCAGGGGTGTGCGTCCCTCAGCCCAGCCTGCACCCTCCCAATCTGGGACCCCTGGAGGGATGTCCAACTGCCTGTTTAAACTGCTGGCTCCCAACTGCTAGCCTGCCTGCCTTCCTGATTGTCCCTAACCGCTTCTGCCTGCCAGCCTGATCACTCCCTAACCACTCCCCTGCCAGCCTGATTGATGCCTAACTGCTCCCCTGCCAGCCTGTTTGCCCCTAACTGCCCTCCTTTGCAGGCCTGGTCCCTCTCAACTTCCCTCTCCTGGTGGCAATCTTATGGCGACTATCTTGTGTCCACATGGGGGCAGCCATCTTGTGTGTTGGAGTGATGGTCAATTTGCATATTATTCTTTTATTAGATAGGATTAGGGTTTCAGTAAGATGTATAAATATAAAATTTTTAAGTTTCTGCCTAAGTTTTGAATTCTCAGCCCAGTAAATGCCCGAGTTAGGCACTGGCTTACCTGAAGCAACGTCTCCACAACGTCTTCCACTTTCCCTGGAACATCCAGTTCAAAGACATACTCCATTCTGCCCTACCAACAAGGGAAAAGGATGCAAACAGAGGAGGAGATGACGCACGCCAAAACTTCGCGAGAAGAGCACTTGCAAATCCCAGGCTGAGGGCCACAAGCATCAACCTGGTGTGTCCTCCCTCACGCCAGAATGAGAGCTCCGGGGAGCAGAGCCCATCGGGTTTACTGCTACATTTACTCCACATTCGATTCTGCTAACTTTGGGTTTAGTTTGCTGTTTTGGGGGGTTTTTTAGTTCCTTGAGGTGTATAGTTAGATTTTAACATTTGAGATCCTTCTTTTATAATGTAGGTGCTTATCACCACAAACTTCCCTCTTAGTCCTGCTTTTGCTGCACCCTGTGAGTTTTGCCACGTTGTCTTTTTGTTTGTCTTGTGATATTTTTAAATTTCCCTTTACATTTCTCTCCTTTGATTCACTGGTTGCTCAAGAGTACTAATTTCCACATACTTGTGAATTTGCCTTCTGCTACGGATTTCTAGTTTTGCTTCATTGTGGTTGCAAAAGGTACTTGGTATGGGTTCAATCTTCTTATACTCCTTAAAACTTGTGTCGGCCCTGGCCAGGGTGGCTCAGTCGGTTAGGCATCGTTCCATGCACTGAAACGCTGCCGGCTTGATTCCAGGTCAGGGCACATGTCCAGGTTGAGGGATCAGTCCCCAGTGGAGGATGTGCAGGAGGCAGCAGATCAATGTTGTAATCTTGCATCAATGTCTCTCTCTCTTCCTCTCCCCTTCCTCTCTCTCTAAAAATCAATATAAAACAAGAAAACTTGTTTTTGTGACCTACCATGTGACCAGCCCTGAAGCAGGGTCCAGTGTATTCTGCTGCTGGTAGGAAGAATGTCCTCTATGTGTCTGTTAGGCTCATGTGGTCTATAGTGTTGTGTCCTCTGTTTCCTCATTCATCTTCAAGCTGGGTGATCTATCCATTATTGAAGTGGGGCATTAAGTCTCTTACTATTCCTGTGTTGCTGTCAAGGCCTCCCTCCAATTCTGTCAATGTTAGCTTCATATATGTGGGTGCATATACTGAGGTTGGGTGCCTATATGTTGTGATGGTCAAATTATTTATTTATTTAAAAATATATTTTATTGACTTTTTACAGAGAGGAAGAGAGGGGGATAGAGAGTTAGAAACATCGATGAGAGAGAAACATTGATCAGCTGCCTCCTGCATACCCCCCACTGGGGATGTGCCCGCAACCAAGGTATATGCCCTTGACCGATTCGAACCCGGAACCCTTGAGTCCGCAGGCCGACGCTCCATCCACTGAGCCAAACCGGTCTCGGCATGTGATGGTCAATTTAGGTGTGTCCCATGCCCTTCCTTTCCTCTTGCCCCCGGGGGAAGTCTGCTTCGATGCTCAGGCCTCTGTCCGCTGTGCTCAGGGCTCTGGGGCAGCAGCGTGATGCCCAGCCTGCTCTTGCTCTCAGTGGTCCCAGGCATCTCGAGTAGGCCGGGTCCTGTCAATGCTCCAAGACAGGCAAGACAGAAGCCAATCCCTCAGGCAGCTGCCCCCCCCGAAAGTCAGAACAGAGGGCCTTTGGCCCAGGGTTGTCTTTCCTTCCCCAGGGAGACGTGGGGAGCTGGGAGTTTCCTCTCAGTCCCATGGCACTGTGCTAGGGGGCGCTACTAACTTTCCTACCAGCTCCAATGAGGCTGACCTGCCCTGTGGCAGGCTCTTCACTGGTTCTTAATTGCTCACAAAGGCAGCTGGTCCATGGATGGTTGCTGAGAGGAACTCTCCATGAGAGGAGCGAGGGTCTGGGGCTTCCTGCCTGACATCCCCATTGATGTCACTCTCCCCCCCTTGTTTAACTCTGAGGATCCTTTGGCTTTCTCATCCACATTCTCATCACTGCTTCAACCTCGCTCATTTCCTTCGGCATGATTTTCCAACAGCCCGAGTGCAGCGCTGCACTCCAAGGTGGCTGTTAGGAGAGCCTTCAGAGGGAGAGCACGCCAGGCAGTGTTCTCCACTTGGGGGAGGTGAGGGGGTGCCACACACAATGGGGAACACAGTGTATTAGGGCTTTCTGGGGTGAGAATAGGCTGTATGAGGGATAGCCCCACCCAATAAAGAACTATCCTGCCCCACATCCAACTGCACCCCCTCATAACACCTCAGTATTTGTAGTTTTGGGCTAACTGGTGCATGGGACTACTCCTTGTTCAGAAAACCCAAAGGCCACAGCATGGAGCTGGCACTCCACAGGCTGCTGGGGAGGAGCCGCGGGTTGGCCTGGACTGGGCCGACATCAGCCTGTTTCCTCAGGTCAGAGGGCGATTGTTCCTGCCACAGAGGTGTCAGTCAGCAGAAGGAGTGCTAGCCCTGACGCCAGGTACTAGAAAATTCTCTTTTCGAGCTGGGACCGGTTTGGCTTGGGGACTGAGGGGCCCCGGGTTCAATTCCGGTCAAGGGCATGTACCTTGGTTGCGGGCATATCCCCAGTAGGGGGTGTACAAGAGGCAGCTGATCGATGACTCTCTCTCATTGATGTTTCTAACTCTCTATCTCTCCCCCTTCCTCTCTGTACAAAAATCAATAAAATATATTTTTTTTAAAAATTCTCTTTTCGAGGAATTATCCCTTTCCTGTACATTAAGCTGAAGCATAAGGGATTAAATAAAACACAGAATGATTAAAACGATGTCTAAGCTCACTTAACAGATACTGTATTCAAGTGCACTCATAGCTTCCATCCAATTAAGAGAATTTGTAAATTATTATTGAGCTCTCAAATAAGCGTATTTTAGAAACCATATTTCTCAAAAAACAAATTCTCCATAATATGCAGCAATCTTATAAATGATGTATGTTCGATTTCAATTTTTATTCTAATAACTTAAGCTCTTTTTTTTGTCTATTAAACCCTTTTTTAAGTCAAAAAGTTCATTGAAATCTCTTGGGCTAAAATCTGTGATTGTCTTGGGCAATTTTGTTGTAATTGTTAGGTAACAAGCTTTTAAAATATCCATTATTATTATATTTTATTAAAGATGATAATAGAGTCACAAAGTCTTATTGTTCAAAAGCACTCTATTAATTCCCAGGAATAAAAGAAAAGCTTTACTTACTCTTTCTATTTTATACGGTGCAACAATGTTGTGTTCTTTAATGAAAAATACCTGAGGGGGGAAGAATTAGTATTTGTAAAATAAAAAATTTCATCGCCATATGTTACTATCAATTCAGTTATTATGAACTGAATTTAAATCATTGTTACACAATCTCCACTTTCCAAAACCACACACATTAACATCAGTGCAGTTGCAAGATTCTGATGTTTAACAAATATTAAATTAAAAAGAAATGCATCCGGGCAACAAGGCATCATGTGTACCAAAGTAACCAAGCAGACAGGTGAAGGAAGCTAATGTAAGTGCCTGTTTTCTAAAAAAAAAAACAAAAAAACAAACAAAACAAAAAACAACAAATGGATAAAACAGCTGAAACTGGTTTGGATCAGTGGATAGAGCGTCGGCCTGTGGACTGAAAGGTCCCAGGTTCGATTCCAGTCAAGGGCATGTACCTTGGTTGCAGGCACGTCCCCAGTAGGGGGTATGCAAGAGGCAGCTGATTGATGATTCTCTCTCATCAATGTTTCTAACTCTCCCTCTCTCTTCCTCTCTGTAAAAAAAAAAAAAAAAAAAAAAAAAAAAATGGGCATGAAATACATTCATTAACATTAAGTAACTTGATCTGGTCACACAGTGTTCTTACCAGGCCACCTGTCCTTCCACTGTGTGTTTGTAACGGTGTCAAACAAGCAACACATGTGCCAGAGCCAGCACTGTCCTCACACTGTACCTCTCTGCCTGCCTTCTCTCCTGCTGGGCGGAGGGTCTGCAGGGCTCCCAGACCAGGCACCCTCCTAGCGCACAGCTATGTACCTCCCCACCCAGCAGCCATTCGCTGCTCCCCTGAGGACACACTGCTCTCTCTTCCCCTGGAAACAAGCCCTCTCCAGGGGGGTCACACCCGCCAGGCCACGTCCCCATTCCTATCTGTGGTAACACTCTGTGCAAGAGCCCACTGCACTTTCTCTCGGGCCCAGGACAGGTTTTCCCCTGAACCACGTGACCGAGCACACTCCTGGAAGGTCACAGGAGATGCACACGATCTCCAGGTCACCAAGTCCAGCGAGAGTCCCTCCGCAGGGCGGCCTGGACTAGTTTCCCAGAGCAGGTGACAGAGCGATGGCTCGTCCCTGGCGCAGCTTGCACTTGGCTCCCAGGCACCGGCTCCTGGTTCTCCCGACCCCACCTGCTGCTGCTCCTCCTCCCCCGCTGTTCTTCCTCCTCTTCACCCCCTGGTCCTCTGGTCTCCCCCTCCCCTGCCTCTGAGGTTACGGAGAGCAGCAGGGGCCTCCCCAGGCCTCTCCGCCCACACTGGTCCCTGAGAAACCTCACCCAGTCCCGGGTTTGGAAAGCAATCTGGAACCTGCTGACTTCCAGCTTCTCTGACGCCCAGACAAGTGCTTCTAAACGCTGCCAGACTTCTCCTCCGAGAGGTCACATTCCAAGCAAAGCTGCTCCCTTCACCACAATAAAGGGCACGGCCACCCACCTCGCCAAGTCATTCCGGATGGTTTGCAACTAGTCCATCACACACCTGTTAGGTTTCTCTTCAGAACGATCCAGACACGGCCCACCCCTCGCCCTTCTAACTGCTGTCCCCCTGCTCCAAAACACCGCGTTTCTGACACCGACGGGACTCCTCGCTTCACAATTACTCCTACAGCATATCCTCCACTGGCCCCCAGAGAGATTTACACACACACAGCCACAGCACGTCCCTTCTCTGTCTAGGGACTTTTCTTTGATGTTTTAGTCTAACTCCTGACCGGCCCACATGGCCCTCTATGACATGTTTCTGCCACTGCTTTCACCTCCCTTCCTAGTCCTCCTATGTCCATGGTCCATGCACCACACCCTCACTGCGCCTCCCAGATTCCAGACATTCACATCCCAGGGCCTCTCCCAGGCTCCTCTCTGCCCCAGACACCCTTTCTTAGGATAATCACAGGGAGCACTCCCTCACGCTTTCGAGAGGAGGGATCTTCTCATCAGGCATCCCTGACCATGCTATCCAGAGGAGCACACGTCTCCGGTCCTATTCCATCCCTGATTTCATTTTCTTCATGTCATTTATCGCTGCCTGACATCACAGAAGATATTTGATTCTTGTCTGTTTTCCCTAACGAAAAGTAAAATCCAAAGGGAGAGGAGCTCCAGCTATTTTGTTCTTCCCTATATCTCTAAAACCTTGAGTATAATACTTACAGAGCGCGTGAATTAAACTATTATTTTACACGCAGACACACACACACACACACACACACACACACACACACTCTATTCTGCCAGTAAGAGAATATTTGGAAGCCAAACTCCCTACATCCAAGGGACCTAGCATTCAGTCATCCCCCCCTTTCCATGGTTTCACTTTCCTGCAGTCAACCTTGGTCTGAAAATACTGAATGGAAAATAAACAATCCGTAAGTTTAGACCGTGTGCTGCTTTAAGAAGCATCATGAGCCGGCACCAGTTTGGCTCAGTGGATAAAGCGTCAGCCTGCGGACTGAAAGGCCCTGGGTTCGATTCCGGTCAAGGGCATGTACCTTGGTTGCGGGCACATCCCCGGTAGGTGTGCAGGAGGCAGCTGGTCGATGATTCTCTCTCATCTACGTTTCTAACTCTCTATCCTTCTCTCTTCCTCTCTGTGAAAAATCCATAAAATATATTAAAAAATAAAAAAAAGAAGTATCATGAAATCTCACACCCTCCTGCTCCAAGCCGTCCAGATGTGAATTGCCCCCCGGCCCAGGATAGCAGCACTGTGTGCGCTCCCCACTCTCAATCACCAAGTGGCTTCCTCGATGATCAGGAGACTGTCGCCGTGTCCGAGTGCTTGTGCTCCAGTCGCCCTTATTTCACTTACTACTGACCCCAAAGCTGAGGTGACCAGACGTCCCGCTTTTGTCCTGCAGGACGCGAGACAAATGGTTAAAAAAAATCTGTACTGACCCGCCAAAAGCGGGACGTCTGGTCACCTTACCCAAAGCATGAGAGCAACAATGCTGACAATTCAGAGACACCAAAGAGAAGCTGTAAAGTGCTTCCTTTAAGGGAAAGCATAGGATGCAGAGAAAAAAAACATACGGCCTATGTAGGGTTCAGTACTACCTGCAGATTCAGGCACCCACGGGGAATCTTGGGATGTCTCCCCCACAGATAAGGGGAGACTACGGTGTTTCTGAAACACTGTGACCTCATAAATAATAAAAACCATGAAAGTTGTATTTCTAGGTTGTGCACTTAACCAGGAAGCTTAAAATGATACTTGAAAGAGTAGCTTGTGTCTCGTCTCCCCCTGGTGTTAAGCTGCTTTTGAGATTATTTAATAGAAGCCCTCTTCTACAAACGATTAAAAATAGGTGGAAGGATTTGGGGGCTTTATTTCTAAGCTCAAAGTTATTAAAATTTTACCAAAATGTGTGTGTTTTCTTTTTCCTAGTGGAAACTAAGAAAGTACTTCTTCCTTTCAAGATACAGACCTTCTAGAATAAGGCCAATATGCGGAATGATACTATAGAAATAAAGAGAGCACAGGGGCAGCCCAGAATTCATAATAATGGCGTTCCTTCCCCAAAGTAATAGATGGCTGTCACTGTTTTTCATAGATGCCAGTTACAACAGCACAAGGTAGCCTGTGAAATGTTTTCTTCCTTGAAATCAATGGAATCATGGATGCAGATCCAGAAAAATCACATAGCCTGGTATCTCCCAGCTTTTATGACGGACTCTTCAGTAGACATTAGAAAGTGTTCCACGATCAAAGGTCTTGGGGATCTGAAGACCACTGGGAGCACTCTCTGCCCCTAACCATTCGCCTCCTGGACTCTCAATGCACTCTGTCTGTTGAGGCTTTGAGTCAAGTCCTGAGTCTGTGTGTCTTTGTTTCCACAGCATTTCCTACACCGACTTCATCACAGGAAGATTTTTCTTTGAACACTTCAAGGCGCTGGGGCTCTCACTGGTAGCTGAGGCAACACAGGTCGCCTCTAACCCTTTCATTTCAAAGATGAAGGTGAGGTCAGAGGCAAAAGAAAGTGGTAGATGATCTCTACTCCGTTCTTATTTCCAATTTTTTCAAGTATCTACAGACAAATTAAGTATATAGCAGGAGAAAAGCCACATTTCACTTTATTCCTGTATTGCCAGTATTAGGCACAGTACTGGGTGCATAAATGTTTATCAAGTGACTTTGGGATGAATAAATCGTCATGACCTCAAGCATCAGAATTATACAAGGTTACACATCCCAAGTCACTACGTTGGCCGTCAGCATGCCTCAGGCTGAGATCACTTAAGTGGCGTGCTGCTGGCCTCCGCCTTCTCAGTGATGAGGAGGCCAGAGGAGGAGGAACCACAGCCCTGTCATTTCAACCCTCAAACATGGCCAGGGCTCCTGGAGAGGAAACCATAAGCCTGCAGGTTATCACACACTTGGTAAACATTAAGTATCTCATTAGGGATCACATCTTTTAAAATACATATTTCTCAATGATTACTTAAAAGCATTCAAACATTTATTCCAACAACCTCCATTTGAGATTCCTACAAATAATTAAATTGTGTACACACACACACACACACACACACACACACACGCATGCACGCACACACGCAAACTGTTCATTCAGGTTAGAACAAAACATTTACTCTGTTACTCTTACCTGACTGAAGAGGAGTGAAATCCCCCCAGACTTTGCCCTAAAATGCAGATAAAAGTTATTAAACATGTATACTTTTTTGGTAGTTATGAAATCAAACAACTAGTGATGATGACATACTTTGCAAAGTGTCTATTGGCTCCATTTTCTCCATGTTTTCCTATTTTTAGACAGTCTCTCAAAGGAATCTGGATAAAATTGAGAAATGTAAAGATAAGCAAAGGTACCATATACACCAAGAATAGGAATGCCTCTATTTTTTTTTTTTTACAATGTATTTACCTTAATGATGGGCTGGGATTTTGCATCTGGTTCAAAAATAACAGATTTTGAACATATTTTCAAGGAGCCTCTGTCTCTCCTAGAGATCAAAGTACAAAAGATTATTATTAATGAACATTAATGAACATTAACAAAAGTCACCAAAGAATCATAATACATCAACTAATGAAAGATCAACAGAATGAAAGAGAAGGGTATGAAGGGTGGGAAAATATAGCAAAAATAGTTGTCCTCATCTCCTAGAGGCTAACAAAACCTGCATGTATTCTAACGTTGGTGAGCTCCGTCCCATGCACTTCATTTCTATGACTTCACTTGGAATTTACAACTACACTGAAAGGAGATGAGGATCAGGAAGCTGATCCCTAAGGCACACTGATTCTACCCTGTCTCTAGTAAATCCTTTTGACTTTTATTTCCCTATATCTAAAAAGAACTATTCAGAAGGCAACACTAAACATATACAATTGACCATGTAAGAAATTTTTTCCTTACTTATCATAATGAAACAATAAACAAGAGTTTGACATTATCTCATAAAATGCTTTAAAAAAATATATATATATATATATTATTGATTTTTTACAGAGAGGAAGGGAGAGAGATAGAGAGCTAGAAACGTCGATGAGAGAGAAACATCAACCAGTTGCCTCTTGCACACCCCCTACTGGGGATGTGCCCGCAACCAATGTACATGCCCCTGACTGGAATCGAACCCGGGACCTTTCAGTTCGCAGATGGACGCTCTACCACTGAGCCAAACCAGCTTCGGCTCATAAAATGCTTTTAATGGTGATTTTGGGGTATGTAGGAAATCAGGGGGAAAAATTGATTCACAATAATAAGCAATTTTCAGTTCTATCAATTCAAATGTTAGATTTAGGGCTTTTAATTCCACTCCTTGGATTTATTTCTGCATCCCTGTATAGTTTAACTAATCTAGTGGCTGGAAATTTACAGTATCTAAAAAAATAAATCACACTGAGAAATAGTCTTATAGTCCCAGTACCAACCCCGTTTCTCCTACCATCACCAGAGTAACTCTCCCTGTTCTTTTGTTGGCAGCAGTATTTCTTTAGCTTTCTATCTCTGGTGCTTAATATAGCTGTATTAATCGGACGAGAAGACTCATCCATTTAACAAATATGATTTAATTTGCAATTCTTTGTCCTCAGAGGATTTTTTACATCATTGATTTTACATCATTTTTTCCTGCAGCTAAATGCATTTACTTTTCTAACATCCTAAATTATCTAATAATAACTTAAGTACTTTTATGACAATTTCTTAACAGAGTAGTAGACAGAATAGAAAACTTGCAAGTATCAATTATCTAGCTTCTGCAACTGTTAATATAAATAAATCTCTTAGACTCGTTAAATAAATGATCTATCGTTATCACACCTAAAAAAATTAATAATTCCTTAATGTCAGCAGTATTTATTCAGTCAGTGTTGAAATGTTTCTACTTCCTAAATAGGATTTAATAGTTGGTTTGTTCAAATCCTGGTCCAAAGTCCATATTACTTTTCAATGATAATGCCTCTTATACTCTAAAACAGTTTTCATTTTCCCACATTATGAAGTTTGCAAAATTAAAAGGTGACCAGATCCCGGTTTGATTTTCTGACAAGAATGCTTCAGAGGCAGGGCACATGTACTCTCTTCATATCAGGGGGTTCAGTGGATTCAGGTGATGTCAACTTTGACATATCCATTATAAAATTTATCAGCAGTTTTCCACCTGCTGGTTTAGCAGCCATTGAAGATTCTGTCTAGATCAGCGGTTAGCAAACTTTTTCTATGAAGAGCTAGATAGTAAATATTTATTTCCTTTGCAGGCCATATGCATTCAACTCTGTCACAAGCATTCAACTCTGTCACAAGCATTCAACTCTGCTATTGTAGCAGGAAGCCAACCACACACAATACATAAACAAATGAGTGTGTGTGTGTGTGTGTGTGTGTATGTGTGTGTGTATCCCAATAAAACTTTATTTACAAAATAAATGTTTTTACCCAAGAGCTATAATTTGCATCTACATAATGAATGCATCGCCATTACTCATTGGGGACTGAAATTTTTATCATTCTTCTGTGTTTATTATCTAGAATTTCTTAACAAAGAACATTTTTTAAATTGAAGGTACTGATTTTTATAACAGTCTGTATTTTATAACATTATTTTGTAACACCGTAACCCAAATAACTTTAGTGTATAAGTACAAAAGGGATCAAGAAAAAAAGTGATGGAATGAATCAGAGTCCCAGACAGCTGATCTAAGTACACACAACCTTGAAGGAATTAGTATACACCAATTCTTAGCTTTGGAAAATATTCAAAGTATGACAACTTATAAATCCCCCTCTTCTCATTACACGTCCAATATGAATGAAGGGATGAAAAAAAACTCCATGATTATACATTTAATTTTATTTATTTATATATATTTTTACATTTTTAAAATTAAATTATTATCTGTGTACATATTTTAACATTGCCCCCCCATACATTTAATTTTAAAAACATCAGACAACAGAAAGGTGTGCTAGTCCACAGAGATACCAAACTCTTCCTTACCTTTCCTTGTGAGTGCCCTTATGCTGAATGTGATGAGCTGTATGCTGCTCAAAGTAGTATTCCTCCAAGTTAAGCAGGAGCAAGGAGAATCTAAATGGAGGAGCAGGAAGATACCTCATGTTTATTATTTTTTTTTAAGTTAAGAAAGCAGAATATTTTAAAGCACCCATTCCCAAAGTGATATTCCATTTATTAACTCAACAAGTGCTTATAAAGTATAGATTATTGCTATCCAGTAGGGAGGAGACCACACACAGACTAGCTGGCTATGCCTAAAATAAATAAATAAATAAATACATTTTCCCAGGCAGATTTCCTTTTTTTTTTTTTTTTTTTTTTTTTTAGAAAAACCCAAAATGCCATGACATAAAATTTATTCTTGCCTGAAAACACTTGCAGCTTTCCCACCTGTGGAGTTTTGGATTCCCCACCACATGCAAACCCTCGCACATCAAGACTCATGATGACTTTATCCTGCCTCTCCTGCAGTAGCCCCTGTAGTAACCCATCTAATGCTTTGTACACAGTGAGTGTTTCATAAATAAGCTGAACTGGATGGGACTGAAATATAGTTCTTTTTAAAGTTTTGAGTGCATTGAACTTTTAAAAACAAATTAAGGTGATAAGGGAAAGTATAAATTTAGTTGTATGGCCACAGAAGCAAATACATGACAAAGAACTGCAAACAAATGTTTTGTTTGTTTTGTGGTAAGAAGCAGGAAATATCAGCAGCATCTAGAGTTACGGGGAAAAGCTTTCATCAGAAGTCTGGGCTTGAGATGTGTCTGGACGTTCTGGTGTGTGATGGAGGAAGACACTTAGGTTAAATGTGGCAGATTAAACATGTATTTACTTCTGTTTCCTCTGGAAACTCTGCTTTAAAAAGGGGAACAAAAATATTTTTTTTCAATGGTAAAACCCACAGACTAAAGAAAATTACAGACACATAAAAGCAGATGAGAGATCTCAACAAATTAGTAAGAAATGGAAAGCAGATAGGAGGAATCAGGAGTGATCTGAAACCAGAACAGCAGGTGCTTCCAGTGAAGGTACAAATTAGGAGAAAACCCAGACCAGGCTCAGGACTTCCCAGAAAGTCCAAAGGAGCAGGTTTCAGGTCCTAAGGAGGCAGGAATGAAACACGGGGTGGATGACTGGGAGCCTGAATGAGGAGTGGCCTAGGGTCCTCCCCTGATGGTTATCCCTACCTCACGCTGGCACATGGTTTTTCTATAGAAAAACTGAATAAGAGGCTCCAAACTACACATCAGCACAGGGAAAGCAGGGCTATGGAGCGAAAAGAGGGTGATTAAGCAAAAAAACAGGAAGACAACACACAGACCAGCTGGCTATGCCAAAAATAAATAATTGCATATATATATATATATATATATATATATATATATATATATATATATATCCAGACATATTTAGTATTTATAATCATTACTTTATAGCTCCCAGCAGCAATCTGTTGGATTGTTTTTGGGAAAAATAATAAATAGCAGGAGGAAAAAAAAACCTAGGAATTTTTGAAAGAGCCAGGTTCTCTACAACATCATCCCATAGAGAACAGCAACAGATAAGGCCTGCCCAGAGTGACACGGAGTTACACACTTCACACTTAAGTATGAACGGGCCATTCCAGATCACCAGCCACTAATATGAAAGAGAACTAAACCAAAAGAAGCAGAAGAAGAACTAGAGACAATGTAGAGAACAGAAAGAAAAGCTAATGGACTATAATTAAAAGCCTTACAAAGAAGAAATTACATCCATGAAATAAGATATTGCTCATTAAAAAAATCTGAACCAAAAGAAAAAAATAACTCACAATGAAAAATAACAAGAACAGGAACCAGTTTAACATACTAGCCAGCAATTCTTATTGGCCCGTTCTACATTTTAAAATCCATGAACAAGAATTAATCATAGGCTAACCTGCTAGAGCTCACTGTAAAATGCTCACTATTAACACTTTTTATCAGGATGATCACCTAGTGAGTTATGTAATGTCTAATCACTGGGCTGTACACCTAAAACTAATGTAATGTTGTATGTCTACTGTAATTGAAAAATAAAAAAAATGACACTAAAAATGACCAGGCAGTTATAAGTGACCCAAATAAAACTAGAAATGTAAAAATACAATGACTGAACTAATGGGACAGAAAATTAGGCAACTAGATAGAAAATTATAAGATGGATTTAAATAGCTCACAGCACAACACAGAAAAATAAATATTACGGAGTGGTTATAAAGCATAAAGAATGAGGAAAAGCAATATTCTAAGAGCTGAAGGCTTGGCTCCAGATAGTTCCAAAACTGTTTCAGCTTCAGTACCCCAATTAGAGTGACGAGGAAGACATCTCTACATAGACAAACATCAAAACACTGCCAAGAGATCGTAAAAGCATCCAGAGAAAAGGCATTACTTACAGGGACAACTAAACTTAAATGATACGGGTTCACTGCAGGCTGGTCTCCCAGAACAGAAGGCTGCCTTGCGCAAAAGCTCCATGGAAACCCGCGATGGTCTTGTCCTGGTCAACCACAGACTTGGACCCCAGTGTCTTAACCAAACCAGAGAAAGGGCTGGTGGTTTTCTAACCATGAACATGGATACATCAAATACTGCCCCATCCTGCCACATCATACAGACCCAAGTGCAAGCTGATAGAGCCCCCAACCGAGCCAGGAAAGGGGCCAAGCCAAGGCCCAGAGCCACAAAAACGGAGCTGGGCACGTAGAGCCAAGGTGCCATCGCAGTTCAGCTCTCCTGCACCCCAGCCCAGGCTCCTCCTCGGGGTCCCAGTTCCTGCTGGAGTCTGAAGCCTGTCCCTGTGGGAGGCCATGGCACGTGTGTTACTAAGCCTTTCTCTGCTGACCTTCCTCCTGGAAGGCTGCTTCCGCAAGCATCTTCATTCCCTGGCCTTTTGCCTTCGTTTGCACAATTTTCAAAACGCCGAATGTACTATACAGCTAGCAAAACTGGTGTTTCAAAACAAGGACATAAAATAGACACGTCCAGACAGACAAAAGCAAACCTAGTTTACGATCACCAGACCCTTATCAGGGGAACTTCTAAGGGATAGTCTTCAAGAGAGAGAACGTAATTCCAAATGGAAGGTGTGACATGCAGGGAAGAATGCTGAATGAAACATGCACATAAAAAAAATGCATATTTAGTTCAGCAATTATACAGCAGACACCACAGTCCATGTTGGCAATTTCACTTCCCGTGGCTTCAGTTACCTGTGGTCGACCATGCTCTAAAAATATGAAGTAAAAAATTCCAGAAACAAGTAACTCATACGTTGTAAACGTTGTGAACAGTGGCACGGTTCTGAGTAGCCTTCCCCCTGGGACCAGCTCAGAGCGTGAATCATCCCTCCGTCAGGCTTTGCCCACCCTGTTAGTCACTTAGCAGTTGTCTCAGTGACCACATCGGCTGTTGTGGTGGGGCAGGGCTTGCATTCAAGTAACCCTTGTTTTGCTGAATAATGGCCCTATAGGATCAGGGATCTGGGCTGGATAGAGACATGCACCCACAGGTCTGAGAGGGTCAGAAGGAAGCTGCACTGCACCAAGGTCACATCCCGTGGGGACAGACCTAACACCCTCCTGTGGAAAGGAAGTCCACGAGGCTGCTAGCAGCTGGGGAAATCTCTCTAAACCCACAGCCGCCAGTGGCCGTGCCCAGAAAGGTGGCCTGAAGAGCTGCTGGAGCCCATGGTGCTGGGGAGAGAAACTCTCAACCACGTGGTTGTTTTGCCTCTGTTTTGACTTTGCTTTTATTTATTTTTTTAATATTTTTTATTGATTTTTTTTAAAGAGAGGAAGAGAGAGGGATAGAGAGTTAGAAACATCGATGAGAGAGAATCATCCATCAGCTGCCTCTGGCACACCCCTTAATGGGGATGTGCCCATAACCAAGGTACGTGCCCTTGACCAGAATCGAACCCGGGACCTTTCAGTCAGCAGGCCGACGCTCTATCCACTGAGCCAAACCGGTTTCGGCTAACTTTGCTTTTATTTGCTAAACCCAGTTCATAGGACCTTTCAATTACAAACATTTATCTGTTAACATAAAGACAAAAAACTAACAAAAACTACCATTGAAACTTGAAGTAAACAAACAAACAAATAAATAAATAAATGCCCTAAAATACAACAATAGTGATGCTGGCAATTCAATAGGAACTGTAAAGTATTGGTATGTATAGGGAAAAACACAGTAGATACAGGATGCAATACCATGCAGTGCCAGACATTCACTGGGCTTCTTATATTATGTCCCCCCTGGATAAGGAGGGACAGCTGAAATGTTTATAGTTTTCAAATACAGACTGAAAATTCTGGACAATGCCAGGTTATAATTTAGGATGGGGCAACAGGAGTTAACTATTCCCAGGTCCTCATATTATTACGGAGGACGGTAAAAAGAACGATTAGCTTCAGTAGATAAACATTAACGTTCAAGGGTAGGTGCTAGAAAAAAACAGAATACATAACTTCCATATGCTTCAGGAAAAATGAAAGGGAAAAAGCAGGGTCTTAATTCAAACTAAGAGAAAAATAAGACAAAATTAAAGAACAAAATAAAAAAAGTAAAAATGGATCCAAATATATCTGTAACAATAATAAATGTAAATGAACTAATCTGACCAAATATTATCACTACCCTAAGCTTAAAGGGTGTGAGTGAGGAATACGCCCAAGACCCGAGTGCCCAACTCCTGCCTAAACTTGTGCTTAGTCTAGTTATACCAAAAATAATTTTTAAAAAATCACAAATACACTGGACCTACCGTGTTTCCCCCAAAACAAGACATCCTCCAAAAATAAGACCTACTTACAGGTTTCCTTCTGAGTGAAATATAAGGCATCCCCCCGAAAATAAGGCCCCCCCTAAGCTATGAGAGATTTGGTCCACTGATTCTGAAAGAAATGGAGTCACAAGAAATTCACCAGGAAATTCAGGAATTGGATTGTTATGATGATGTTCCAGAAGATGACGACATGATTGTCATCGACTAAATGAGTAAATTCTTGATACTGTAGGACTCACAGTTTGTCTGGTTTATGT